TTCTAATGTTCATACAAAGATTCTGGGGTCAGGCTCCTGGATCTTTGTCACTCTTGATTGGTTATCTGTTTAGTTTTTAACTGAAAATGACAAAAGACAACTCAAGGTAGATACAGACAAGATTATGTATAGTAGTGACTTGATAAATGGGAAATGTTAAAGTCTGATTTAACTTTGTTAATGCTGATTTGTATTTCTTTCTTAATTATCTCGTGGGGGGATGTTTAACTGATATATTTAAAGCCAGCATAGATATCTCACCCTTTATTCTCTATTGTTGGCGAGGTGGTGTTTTGATTCATATATTTAACCCCAGAATAGGTACCTCAGCCTAATATCTGTAGTTGGTGGGTTGGTGAAGCAACCATTGGCACAAGCTTGTTTTATCAATCCAGATGAATGGTATTCTCCTGTCGAAGTTATCATTGAGGTGGTTCTGACTATGTCTACTGCAGAAGCTCAAAAGCTTGTGGTGACATCTCAGGTTGAGCCTTTCATGTATCTGTTAATAGAAGTGATATGGCTTTATTCGGAATTTGGTGGTAGAGTCTACACGTTTGCATATTTTTATTTATAAAGCCTTGGTGTTTAGCTTGTTTTCCAACTGTATATATGCTGCAGCTCTTTTTTGTTCAGAGGAAAGGAAGTTGACCACTCCCAAGTGCCTATTTGTGATCAGGGTTGGCGATGAGTTTATCTGAGACAAATATTTGAATATTTGGTTTTTTTTTTTTTAATTTCATCATGTTCATTTCCTGTTAGAATTTATTTAAATTTGAGTTCCTGTTGTTTGGGGAAATATATAATTCAACTTGGCTTAAAAAGTTAGGTAAAGATTTAAACTTGGAAAAACTTAAACTCCAATTTTTCTTAAAGATTTTAGTGGGTTGGAATTATTAAAAACTGGGGTTTAATAAGTTTTCTTTCTGATTTGAATAAGTTCTGAGTGACAAAAGAGCAAGTTTGAATCATATATGTTTAGCATTTATATAAAATATTATGAAATTTTAAAATAATTGTGTTATAATTATGATAAATTATAAAAAATGAGTAAATATTATCATAAAATACTGTTTTAAGTTCTAATATCACTCTTATCAATGTACTCGCATAAAAACTACTCTTGTCGATATATCATTGGTTACTACTATTATTCTTTTATCACCGTTTCTATTATAGCAATTTGTTACTATTGTTGTTATCAATTTTGTCATTATTTATATCGTTATCATTATTATTATGGACTTCACCACCATAACTCTATTATTACTATTGTCATTCTATTACCGTTGTTAGCTACAATATAGCCACTTCTATAATCATTTTTCACCATGATTATCTATCTCTATATTTATTGCACGTGTTTATATCACTGATGTGATCTCCTTATTTATTGTTGTTGTTAACCATTACTATCACTACTCCGTCACTATCACGACTATTCTCATTCTTATTGTTATGTTGTTATTATTATTATCATTATTTGTACTATCACGTTACTTATATAATTTTTCTAACTATCAGCATTGACATTCTTTTATTGTTAATGTTATCTTATAATAACTACCACTATAATTATTTTCATTGTTAATATTGTCATTTTTATCATAACTGTTATTACTGTTTTTTTAATTATTATTATTTTGTCATTATTTTTACGTATTATATCCAATTGTTATTAATATGAATTAAGAAAAAAATATATTATAATATTTATTTTATATAATTTATTTTTTTAAATAATAATCTTAAACATATAATAAATGAAAATTTTAAGTATAAATAGTTTATTTTAATTTACCAAACAACCTTAAACTCCCAACTTAGTACCTTAACTTTTGTATATTATGTAACTTAAGTTTATATATCTATTAGTTTTAATAAATTTTAAGCTTATATTATTTTAAGTTTTAAAGATATTTGAGTAATTAGTTTTTCAACTGATTTTTAAATTTTAAAAAATCAAATATTTGACAAGATTAATAACTAAAAATAACTTAAGATAACAATTAATTGCTCATTTATTTGATACGGTCTAAAACTATGGTGTGCTACATGTACTTCAAAATAATTTCACATAAACTTTACCAACACAAAAATTCAATTTTGGGTTATTAGAATTTCGCCTTTAATGTACTTATATTTTTTAATAACATTAATTATATTTATTATAATATATAATTAAATTATTATCCGGTGGGGGGGGGGGGGGGGCCACCTTACATTTCATACAACTCCACTAAATTTAAGGTCGAATACTTTGAAATATTTGCATAATTTCGGAGGAAGAA